ATTATGCTGAGTGAAGAAGCCAGACACAAAAGGTCACTTTTTAAATTTTTTAAAAATGTATTTTATTGATTTTTTACAGAGAGGAAGGGAGAGGGACAGAGAGCTAGAAACATTGATTAGCTGCCTCCTGCACACCCTCCACTGGGGATGTGCCTGCAACCAAGGTACATGCCCCTGACCAGAATTGAACCTGGGACCCTTCAGTCCGCAGGCTGATGCTCCATCCACTGAGCCAAACCTGCCAGGGCAACTTTTTAAATTTTTATTGATTTCAGAGAGGAAGGAAGGAGAGAGAGATAGAAACATCAGTGATGATAGAGAATAATTGATTGGCTGCCTCCTGCACACTGGGGATTGAGCTTGCAACCTGGGTACATGAGCTGACTGGGAATTAAACATGATCTCCTGGCCCATAGGTCAACGCTCAACCACTGAACCACATCAACAGGGCTAAAAGGTCACATCCTATATAATAAAAGCCTAATAAGCTAAGTGTCCGGTCATCTGGTCATCCGGTCAACCAATCAAAGTGTAATATGCTAATGATATGCTAAGGCTGCTCAACTGCTTGCTATGACATGCACTGACCACCAGGGGGAAGATGCTCTGACTAGTAAGTTAGCTTGCTACTGGGGTCCTGCCAATCAGGATGAGCCAGACACACCCTGGAGCCCTCCTGTAGTCCCTCCCCAGCTGGCCAACCTCCCGAATCCCTCCCTGGCCCCAATTGTGCACCAGTGGGGTCCCTCAGCCTGGCCTGGACCCTTTCACAATCCGGGACCCCTTGGGGGATGTTGGAGATCCCGCCAGCCAGGCCGAGGGACCCCACTGGTGCATGAATTCATGCACCGGGGCTCTAGTATTATATAAATTGTGTTTTTTTGAAACATCCAGAATAGGCAAATCCACAGAGACAGAAAGCAGATTAGTGGTTTCCAGGAAAGGAGGTATTGGGACTGATTGCTAATATGTATGAGGTGTCCATTTGGGGTGATTAAAATGTTCTGGAAAATTTAGATGCAGAACTCTTGTGAATACACTAAAAGCCACTGAATTGTACACTTTAAAAGGGCAGATTTGATGGTATGTTAGTTATATATAAAATTTTAAAAAGAAACAGAGCAGACAACCAGGTTCTCAGGGGAAAAAAAAGAAGTACATACCACAAAATAATGAGCCAAACCTGGTGTTCTTTCTTCATAGGGGAAAACCTCAGGCCCTCACACAGAGTATTTTTATCTTAGATAAAGTCCTAAGTCTGGCTTATCTGGTGTCCTTGGTTGCATGTGAAGCCAGTTCACTCATGACAATGTTCTCTAAAAACTGCCCTTCCTCACAGAGATGGCCCCAGCACCCATTTTTATGCTGTGACCTTATCAATTGAACCACAAGAGTAACCTGACCCAAACAGAGTCAATCTGATGGTCTCCTTTGGAAGGGTTGCAGTGGGAGAGAGGAGGCGCTTTGTTCTCTGCAAGTGACTAAAACTGAATTGAGTAACCTCAGGAGTTGTGGCCGAGTCATCTATTTTATTTTGTTATTTTATTTTTAAAATATTTTTATTGAGTTTATTTATTTCAGACAGGAAGGGAGAGGGAGAGAGAGATAGAAACATCAATGATGAGAGAGAATCATTGATCGGCTGCCTCCTGCAAGCCTCACACTGGGAATCAAGCCCACAACCCAGCATATGCCCTGACCAGGAATCGAACCTGTGACCTCCAGGTTCACAGGTTGACGCTCAACAGCTGAGCCACATCGGCTGGGCAGAGTCATCTATTTTTTTAAAAATGCTGATTTTAAAGAGAGAAGAAAGGAGAGAGGTACATCAATTTCTTATTTCACTTATTTATGCATTCATTGGTTGATTCTTTTATGTGCCCTAACCAGGAATTGAACCCAGAACCTTGGTGTATCAGGACAATGCTCCGACCAACTGAGCTACCTGTCCAAGGCCGTGGCAGAGTCATCTTGGTGGAGAAGCCAAGGAGGGGAGCCTGCAGGATCAAAGAATGACGCAGATGGGCAAAGGAACACAGAGGTGAGAGTAAGAAAATGGCCTCTTTGGTTTTTGCTGAGTTTCTACTTCCTGGTTCTGCCCCCTTTGTTCACCTTTGCCCTTAAGATACCCCATGACCTTGTAATAAATGTACTTTTTTTTTTTTTTGAGCTGGTACGCTTCTGAAAGTTGGAATTGAAAATACTTTGGTTATGGTGCTAGGTTCCAAGAGATGAAAGATATACTGTCACCAGTAATGTGGGTGTTAACTGTTTGTATGAAGGCAGCAAATTAGAAAGAGGTGGGAGGCACTGCCTGAGGACACCAGTATTAAGAACAGCAATAATAGCCCATTAAGAGAAGTAAGTCCCTATAAAAAGCAGAGCTGAGAACTCCAAAAAGCTCTTCAGTCTGGGACCATTTAGTTGAGAGGCCAGCAGTGGCCAACATCGGTGTGCCTTAGGGTGTCATTTGGTTATAGCATGGTCAAAATGATGTTTGTCACAATGGCCTTGAGCCACAAAAGGCCAGTCAGATGAAGCAATATTCTTTGATGAAATGAAAAAATTGTTTACATTAAATGTTCAGGCATTGAAAGATGTAAGATTCACTTACCTGGCACAGATCTTGTGAAATACGTCATTGTATAACTAACAGATTCATGTGGTCCAAATGTACAATTACATATACCTCTAGAAATAGCTCATCTTCTAAATGAAAAACAGGTTGGTTGCAAAAGTGAATAATGATAAATTATTTTCTAATTTTGTTTTTGCTTTCCCCATGTAATCCTTGAGGCTGAAGGAAGCTGTTATAGAACAGAAAAAAAAACCTGACTCTAATCTAAAAGGCCATATGCTGATCACAGATAATCCTCTGTGCTATCTGCTGCATCAGTGGGTCTCAAACCTGTCAGACCCAATGTCCCTTTTAAAATAAATATTTTCTAATATCCCTTTAGTAGCCCCGAAAGAAATTAACATGGAATATAATCTACCTGCACTCAATTAAATATGCATATATGTAAATGTATATATGTATTTGGTTTGCATATTCATGATGATTAATGATGTTGGGCTTTTCATGTGCATATTGGCCATTCTATATATCTTTGTAGAAATTTCTGTTCAGCTCCTTTGCACATTGTTAATTAGGTTGTCTCTAAGTTATAAAGATTCTTTAGCTGAAACCGGTTTGGCTCAGTGGATAGAGCGTCGGCCAGTGGACTGAAAGGTCCCAGGTTCGATTCCGGTCAAGGGCATGTACCTGGGTTGTGGGCACATCCCCAGTGGGAGATGTGCAGGAGGCAGCTGATCGATGTTTCTCTCTCATCGATGTTTCTAACTCTCTATCCCTCTCCCTTCCTCTGTTTGGCCCAAATCTGCCATTTGGCTTTGGTTTTGGTCTCAGCCTTCAGAAGGCCTACTTCAACATCAGTTCTGACCGCTTTGAACTGGAATGTGATCAGTGACTGTGGTATCACCTAAGTAACCCTCGTTTCTAATCAGAGTATCAATGTAAGTGATTGAATTCGGCCTGTCATTGGGATTTGTTGTTAAAAGTGAATATGTGGATATTCACTTTTGAATGTAGGTGAACATTCTAGTTGTAGCTGAAGGGGGAAAAAAAACCTCCTTAAATTCTTTATATGTTGAAATTCTATCAATAGTGTAAATATACATTTAGATTTATTATTGCTAAAATAAAATAATAATTGGTTGGATACTTACTTTCAAGAATAATAACTAAGAACTTTCAAATGACTCAATAGAAAAATCAGTGGGCAGACTATTAGGAGAGATTTTTGTTGGCTAGATAATTTAAATAATAATAAAGGCATAAAAGTATTAGAAATTTAAAATGAGTGGAGAATCATCTTTAACTTGTCTCTTGAAAATACTCAGAACATAGGTTCAAGCAGTGCACAAAGCTTGGGTTTGTGGGGTTGTTTGAGTGAAAATACATCATCATTATCAACCTAGTTTTCAAGTACAGAAGTTGAAGAGATCCAAAGTCTTTACCATGGTCATGTATCTAAGTCGAAGTAAGGAATGGCTGGCAGCATCACTATCAACAGTATCCTGTTCTGAGCAGCCAAAAAATATCTGTCAGGTTCCAAAACACTTTCATTACCCTAGAAGGAAACCCCACATCATTATGTAGTCACTCCTCATTTCCCCTCCTCTTCAAGCCTTTGGCAACCACCAATCTGTTCTCTATTTACATGGATTCACCTAGGCTAGATACTCTGTATAAATGGAATCGTACCTTTGATCTTTTGTGCCTGGCTTCTTTCATTTAGCATAATGTTTTCAGTGGTCATTTACGGTATAGCATGTGTCAGTGCTTCATTCCTTTTATGGCCAAATATTTATTCCACTCTATGGATATTCTTTATTTTGTTTATCCATTCATCTGTTGATGAACACTTGGGTTGTTTCCATCTTTTGGCTGTTGTCAGTAATGCTGCTATGAGCATTTGTGTATGGATAGCCATTTGAATCTCTGCTTTCAGTTCTTTTGGGTATATGCCTAGAAGTGGAATAGCTGGATCCTATGGAAATTCTGTGTCAGGAAGTGGGGGCACAGACCAAATATATATCTTATGTCACAGTGCCTTAATGAATATATGTATACTTATACATATATATCTATATATATATCAAATGAATGTGTCAGTGAACAGGCTAACTGTGATTGGTTATATTCTGAGAAAAGGAAGGAAAAGAAACACTTCAATAATCATGAATTATACATTATTTTTTATTATCAAAACAGTCAGGTTATGACAGCTACATTGCCAAGCTAGAATTAGGAAGTGTTTTAAAAATGGTTTCATCCAAGGAGATAAATGCAAGTTCATTACCTCTTCTGCATGAAATTAGTGTTACAAGGAAGCACATCTCTGATATAGAGATGAATCAGTGAGTATTGTGCAGTTACCATTAACAGAAGAATGGATTGAAGTACAAGAAGACAGGTCCTACAAAATGTGATTCTCCTTGGTGTGCCTTTGGCGATGACATTATTTTATGTAGGAGCCTAAACATAAAAATTCAAACATGATGCATGTCTTTGTAGGAAGTGTCAGACATTTTACACACTGTTGACGTCACACATCACCCTCTCACTTTAAGCATATGTGGGGAAAGGGAAGGAGAACAGTAGGTGGATCCAGTGATTATCTGTCACCCCAAATTCTACCTCTATCTGGGGCCTCCACAAGGTGACAGAAACTCATCAGGAATCAGGCACCAAAAAATAAAGGCATAAAGACTCAGAGGCTATCAGAATGGAAATCTGTAGCTATTAATAGAATTCTGGAGGAAGAATCTCCACTCTGAAGAAGTCATATATATAATCTACTTTTTAAAAATATACTGGAAAGGTTGCAAAAATGACAGTGCAATCTGGCCTAATGAGCTTGATTCCTGAGTTGAAAGCCAGATAAAATCCTGGATCCCAAAAGAAAGCTGCTGTTTTTTAAAAAGTATCAAAAATGGTAAATCTTAGAGTATGTATAAAAAACCTGACAGATCCTTCATTAGTCATAGTGTTGAATAGTGGTCTCTATTTATTCTTCACAATAGTTGTTTAGAAATAGTCGATTCTAGCACCAAAACCATGAAAAGGAAATCCTGCAGGAGGATCCTAGAACCTGGGACTGTCCATTTGCATATTTTTAGAGGCTGATAAAGGTTTGGGTATAGGTTGCTTTTTGAGTAGCATCCAGACTGCATCTACTTTAATTGGATGCAAAGCTCAAGACATTAAAAGCTTAAAGGCGGCCTTTTCCAGTTCTTAACTGCACTGGTTATTTCCAGTCGTAGAAATGTAATGCAATTGAAATGTATTGGGCAGCGTGGCAGTTAAATTGGATGGATTCCAGGGCTGGGCTGGTGAGTTACCTGATTCCATCTGCAGCCCTCCTAGAACTGCTGAATGGGAACCTAGGCTCCTAAGGAGCTCCAGAGGTGGTCCAGGCTCCCTGAGACCTTTAGGACCAGGGAAGGTATGGGCTGAGTCTATGTCCCTAAGAGTCCAGCTTGCTCTCTTGTCCCAGCTATCTGTTGCTATAGAACAAAGAACCCAAAACTTAGTGGCTTAAAACAATATTGTTCTGTGCATTCATGGGTCAGCTCTCACTTGGGGTGTCTCATGAAGTTGCAGACATGTGTTAGCAGGCTCTGGAAGGGTCTAAAGTCTTCTCTCCCATGCCTAGTGACTGGGCTTATATGATTTGAAAGCTGGGACTGGTCAGTCATCTCTCCTCTCCACATGGTTGCTTGGGCTTCCTCACAGCAGGGCTGTCTCAGGATAGTCAGACTTTTACCTGAGGTCTGGCTTCCTGCACAGCAAGTGTCAGGGGACAGGGAGTGGAAGTTGCCAGCCTCTTAAGACCAAGACCTTGAAACTGACCCAGCATCACTTTCACTATTGGATAAGCAATCAGAGCTGCGCAAGGGGAGGAGACATAACCTTCAGGTCCTGAGAGACAAAGGCCAAGGAATTTGTAGCCACTTTGAATCCTTCACGTTCTCTAACCAGGACTCAAGACCCAAAGAGTTTGTTCATAGTTGGACATTATCCTAGTCTGACCTTATAATGAGTTGCTTTGTATTCATATAGCTCTCTGTGCATTAACAAGAAAGCTTGTATACACTGTCTCAATTTTCCTCCCAATATCTCTGTAAGAGAGTAGGTTGAATCTTAAGGCAATTGAGGTACAGAGGTTAAAGGCCTTAGATCACACAGCTTCCCAGGGGCAAAATTGAGACAGACGTCTGAATCTCTCCACTCTCAGTCCATGTTGAGGGATTCTGGCTGGTTTGTTTGTTTACCCGGGTCTCTCTGCTCTCTGACACATGCAGAGTGGCAGCGGAGGAAATCTGGCCACAGATCTTGGCTGCTGAAGCTCGGGGTGCAAGCAGAAGTAATTTGCTTATGACTGCTCTGTTCCATCAGTAAGGACTCTTGAAGCCACTGTACTGGCCTTCACTCTTGGGAAACTCTTTCCGGATTCTCCAGCGGCAACAGCTGGGCAGGATCGCAAAGTCAGCCAGGTCCTTGGAGCCGAAGCGCCAGGTGGCATAGCACCTGTAGGCGCAGTGCCGCAGCTGGTTGTTGGTGGCATCCGCATCCAGCTTCAGCAAGGGCTCCTGGTAGAGCAGGAGGAACTGCAGGGCACGTCTGGACAGGATGAGCTGCTTGAATGGCTCTGAGGTCGTGATGCAGACACCTGGCTTTTTCCGACAGCACAGCTCCTCCAGGCATTGGTGACTCCTGGGGAGTTGGGATGGGAGGCAATTTCCGCACTGGCACCAGCTCGGGCTGCTGCTGGATCTGGGTGTTGCCTCCTCACTAAGCAGCTGGATTTCCTCTGGTTGCCCAGGAATGGAGGGTGCGTCTTGGAGAGACAGGGGCAGCCTGGACAAGTCTGTGAAGTCCATTAATGGTTTCTGGAAAAGTCAAGTTTCCAAACCTATCAGCAATGACAACCCCTAGAGTTCTGGGTTCTTTAATTTCATTATTAACTCACAAAATTACATGTAATATTACATCAGTACCGTGTGTTAAATGTATGTATCAGGACTGTGATAGTCTTTTACGAGCATGGCCTCATTTAAGCTTTCGAAGAATCTCATGAGTTGTGTCCTTATCTCCATTGCACAGATTTAGAAAGTGAAATTCAGAATAGCCAGGCCTCAGTGCAATTATCACCTCTCCAAAAAGAGGCTGACCACCCAATCTAGGTAATGCCCCTCCCAGGTCATTCTCTTACTAGTATTGCACCATGAGATTCTCCATCCTAGTACTAATTGCCATCTGAAAGGATCTTTTTTTTTAAAATTTTTAAAAAAATATATATATTTTATTTTTTTAAAATATATTTTGTTGATTTTTTACAGAGAGGAAGGGAGAGAGATAGAGAGTTAGAAACATCGATGAGAGAGAAACATCGATCAGCTGCCTCCTGCACACTCCCCACTGGGGATGTGCCCGCAACCCAGGTACATGCCCTTGACCGGAATCGAACCTTGGACCCTTGAGTCCGCAGGTTGACGCTCTATCCACTGAGCCACACCGGTTAGGGCTAAAAATATATTTTATTGGTTTTTTTTACAGAGAGGAAGGGAGAGGAATAGAGAGTTAGAAACATCGATGAGAGAGAAACATCAATCAGCTGCCTCCTGCACACCCCCTACTGGGGATGTGCCCGCAACCAAGGTACATGCCCTTGACTAGAATCGAACCTGGGACCCTTGAGTCCGCAGGTCGACGCTCTATCCACTGAGCCAAACCGGTTAGGGCTGAAAGGATCTTTTTAATTAATATGTTTACTTGATGATTCTTCTGCATGAAAGTGGGGTCCCTGTCTGTTTTGTTTATTGTCATATCCCCAATGCCTAGGCCAGTACCCAGCACACAGTAGTCAGTAAATATTTGTTGACTGAGCTGCTCTCCTTTTCCACCAGGCTCCCTCTACTGGCAAATCCCTTTGTTGTGCTTCAAGAGAAATGGTCATCATTGCCATCATTTATAAATGTCTACTCTTTGGGACATATACCTTCATTCACCAGACAAAGTCTGAGTCAAGTACCTTAAAAGTGAATAAGTTCTCGTACATGAATGTTCACAGCAGCACACCCTGGTTTCAGACATTTTAACCTCCAGAACTTTGATACAGGCCATTCTGTCGTTTTTTAAGCTACTTAGTTTGTGGTAATTTATTACAGCAGCCATAGAAAACTAATACATTAGTGAAGATGTCCAACAGCCTGAACTTCTAAGGAGAGAGTGAATTAGAACACCCACTTAGAGAAGTGTCTGGTAGTAACTCCTAAAGCTGAATGTATGCCATATGTTCAGGTGCCATATATTTACCATAGGAACATCATTGGCATGAACCCCAAAGGGAAACTACTCAAATTTATCCGTCAGCAAGAGAAAGGGTAAATAAACTGGATGTTTATAAAATAGAAATTATACAACAATGAGAATGAACTATTGCTATATGCAACGTCATGGATGACTCTCATAAAAATAATGTTCAGTAAAAGAAGCCAGGCGCTCAATAGAATATATGCTATAGGATTCAAATTTTATAAAATTCTGGAAGAGGTAACCACCTGAAACTAATATAATATTGAATGTCAACTGTAATTGAAAAGTAAAAAAAAAATTTTTAATTCTAGAAGAGGTAAAACTAACCGTTGGAATAAGGGTGGGTAGTGATAGGGTAGAGACATTAATGGGACTTCTGCAAGTGATATTCACTTTTTTCATCTGTGTGCTGGTTGCATGTGTTTGTGTTTACTTTGTTAAAATTCCTCAAGTATGATCTGTACAAATTTCTAGATGTGTTTATATTTAGTAGTAAGTTTTCTTTAAAAAAAGAGAGAGAGAGAGAAGACTAAATGTTTTAACTTACTGGGATTTCTTTGCCTTTGACATTTTGCAGACTTCTCCCAAGTAGCTGCTCTTCCACCATCCTAATATGGAATTCATCCACAAAGGACACATATTTTAATGTCTAGGGAAAGAAAGTTAAAAAATTACTTCTTTTTTCGTATAGAATTACTTAAGAACTGAAAACCTGGACTTATCTAAAGCAAATATTATTCCCATTTAGCAAATGGCAAACTTTTAAACAAGTTAACCAAAAACTCTTGCTAACCAAGAATGAATGATTTCTGAGTCTAAAGGTGAATCCAAACTGGAACCCCATACACCTTAATTTGTGGACTTAGAGTGTCCACAACCTATTGCCTAATGTTTATAGGCCCCCAAGAACTATGTAAAATTTCTTTGTTATATTTCCTCAATTTAGGCTACTCTAGATTGACTATCCTCAGAAAATTATACTATTGCAACTTAAATTATTTATATTTCCATTAAGTTTCATTCCATCTTGGGCCATTAGTGATTATATCTATATCTTATATAATAAAAGCCTAATATGCAAATGGACTGAATAGCAGAATGATGGGTCTCTATAATGTGCACTGACCATCAGGGGGCAGACACTCAACACAGGAGCTGCCCCCAGCCTGCAGGCCAGCCAAGGTGGGTGCCAGTGGAGGCTCCCTGATTGCCCTGCCTGTTGCCCTGTAGAGGGAGGTGACTGGTGGCCCGGGGTGGGGGGGTGACGGCGAGTGGGCAGCACCAGGCCGGCCAAGGCGGGTGCCAGTGGGGGTCCCCTGATTGCCCTGACAGTTGCCCCACAGATCAGCCCTGATTGCTGGCCAGGCCTAGGGATTCTACCTGAGCACAAATTTTGTGTACTGGGCCTCTAGTATATTTATAAAATTGATTTCAAAGAGGAAGGGAGAAGGAGAGAGAGGAAAAAAAATCAATGATGAAAGAGAACCAACGATTGGATGCCTCCTGCATGCCCCACACTGGGGATCGAGCCTGCAACCCAGGCATGTGCCCTGACCAGGAATCGAACCATCACCTCCTGGTTCATAGGTTGACGCTCAGCCACTGAGCCACGCCAGCTGGGCAATAGTGATTACTTTTAGTTGCAATGATGAATTTTTATTTCAAATTGTATATGCATGTACAATGGACAGTGAATTGAGCATTCAGCTGCCGGAACAGGACTGGGATGTCCTTGGATGAGGGAAAGACAAAGAAACCCTCTGATGTTTTAAAGTTCCAGAGATTTCTTATTGGTTGGGAGGAAATCATGGAGTCAAGTGTAGAGGACCTGCTTAGTAAAGTCCAAATGAAACAACCAAAACAATACAGATGAGCTAAAGTTCCCTTTGACTAGTCCCCATCCCACGCTTCTTTCCAGAAGGGATTGTTATCCCTTTTATTTTTTAAAAAAATATATTTTATTGATTTTTTACAGAGAGGAAGGGAGAGGGATAGAGAGTTAGAAACATCGATGAGAGAGAAACATCGATCAGCTGCCTCCTGCACACTCCCCACTGGGGATGTGTACGCAACCAAGGTACATGCCCTTGATCGGAATCGAATCTGGGACCCTTCAGTCCGTAGGCCGATGCTCTATCCATTGAGCCAAACCGGTTAGGGCTCGTTATCCGTTTTTGTATGTCCAATGCCTTTTTGTATTTTTATATATAGCCCCCCACATATAGAGGTGTGTGTTAATACATGTAGAACTATATAAAATATAGACAAATATATAGAATATATGTGTATGTGTTTGTGCATATCTGTACATGTATAAAATACATAGAATTAGTTTAGTTTATGTATGTAGTTTTTTAACCTATATCATACCATATGTATCGTTCTGTAGTTTGCTTTTTACCTCTCAACAAAATGTATTGGATATTTGAAAGTACCTAAAACATAGTGGTTGTGAACATGGGTTCTGGAACTAGCCTGCCTAAGTTGGAATTTCGGCTCTACCACCTACTAGCTATATGACTGGGCAAATTATATAACCCTCCTATGCCTCAATTTCCTCATCTGTAGAATGGGATAATAGTGTCATCTATCTATGAGGTTGTTGTGCAGACTCAGTGAGTTAATATATATAAAGCACATTGAAGTGCTATATAAGTGTTGGCTATTATTTTTATCTACGTCATTCTTTTAAACGAGCGCCCAACATTCGTTGCTATGTATTTAACCTAGTTCATGCACTGTTCACGGATTGGACATTTGGATAGAAGCACTTTCTTCAGTGACTTGTGCTGTGGTGGACACATACCTGTACACTATACTCCCTGTGTGATCATGTAAGTGTGTCTCTAGGGCACGTGTGGAGAAGTGGGAATGCCAGGCTGTGCAGTATGTCCCATTTAAATGTCATTATACACTGCCAGATTGTTCCCCGAAGTCATTACATGATTGTTTTTGGCTGTGCCCATTTAATAAGTCTGATAAAATTGATAGGTTCCAGAACGTAAAAATTTCTTCTCCCTCTCTTTCCTCTCTGTTTTTGTTTCTATCCTTCCCTAAGACGAAAGGCTTCACCTGAGAAATGGTGGATTGGGGTGGCGTCCAGAGGCTTGTCCACCCTGGGATCACACCTGTGGTTTTGGCCTTATTTATGCACATTTCTCAGTGAGCTAACGGACACCCCAGTGTTTTGGCATCTGTAGACGCAGTGAGCCTTACCGACTTTGGCTCCACAATGGACTCGCACTTCTTCTTGTAGTAATACTCATTGACCGCGCAGCATTCACAGCACTTGCAATAGGATTGACAGGATGTATTCGAGCAAGTGTTGATGAGGAAGTCAATGAATACAGTGGCCTGGGAAGAACCCCGACAAATGCCGTGTTAGTGAAATTTCTTTTTGCCAAAGCGTTTTCATAAAGCATGGGCAAGAGAAAGCCTTACCAAACCAAAGTAGGAGAGGGTGGAGCCGATGTACACGATCAGTGCGATGATGTCAAATTTTCCTCCCTGCGAGCAGAGCGGGAAAGGTTACGTGGCTGAAATTCAGTGCCGTGCTCTTTTGCTCTAACATGTCAGTGTTAGTTCCAGCAGAGGCGGGAGTCTGCCTCTGTGATTCTGACAAATGCATCCAAGGTGTTCACGGCGACAGAGACTGCAGAGACTGAGCACAGGACTCTCATTCATCCTGTTTATCTTCCAAGATGTGCTTGAAAACATGAATGTTTTAAACAAAGAAGCGCTGGAACCCACACACTGAGAGGAGAACCACTGAAGGTTGTTTTTTCATACAAGGTGAGGGTTTCAGAAAAGCTTTACCTAAAAGTGGTTTGAATTTGCTTTGGAATCAAAGGGAAGGAATGTCTGCACAAGGTCTTCCCTTAGGTGTCCTTGTGGTTCTTATTTTCCATGGCCTTTCTACTCCCTCAGCTATATCTGATTGATTCTCATGCTTCTTAGCACCATGCTGCATAAATAATATGCTGTCAGACAAGGTATTGTGGGCATCTGTTGAGTTTTGCATGCCCAGCATCCCCACCTTCCTTCATCTGGAGACAGCACCCCAGTTTTCCTGTGGAGAACTATCTCTGTCCATCCTCAGTGTAGAGGAGGGACAATTCTATGATGTGCTTGCTGTCTGACCTGTGAGCTGGACACTGGCTAGAACAGATTGCTTACCCCAGACCCTTTCCCTTAGAGACTGACCACGGTCTATGTTCATTCTGACATAAATCAGCACCCCTCCCTGCCTCCTGCTACCTGCTGGTTCCTGGAACGGGCTGTCATCCTGACCTCATCAAGCATGTAAAGTAATTTCCCTGGTAGCTGGTAGCATTCATGTGTTAGTACCAGTGACTATTCCTTCTTGCCCTCTATAGTTAAGTGGCTCAGAGGGCCATTTTATCTTGCAGCTGCCCAAGATGCTCCTTATATGTAAGTTTCCCTTAATAAACTCTTTTACCAGAATGGAGTGGACTGGCCCTTTCTTCAGTCTTTCTCTACCTCCAGAGGTAGATTTTCAGTCCCAGGGCTTCCCCCTGGGTCTGTGTGTACTAACACTTGCTCCATGTAGCTTTGGGGAAGGGGCTGGCTCAGAGCTGGTCCAACACCAGCCATTGGGAGTATGGTGTAACCCTAGTCACAGTGATTAGTTGAGGTTGCTAAACTGGTGAGGTATAAGGAGCTGCTTGACAGCACCACACAGAGGTGACAGCAGGAGATGATGTTTAAACAGAGGAGGACAGACGCGATGGAGGGAGGCAGATTCTTGATGATGATGTTTGAGCATCTGGAACTAGCCATGCCCGAAGCCTGTAATGGCTCCTGGACCTTTCATTTATGTGAACTAAAAAAAAAATTTTTTTTAAAGAAGCCTTTTTTTCTAAGCCAAATTAAGTTGTTGGATTCTGTACTAACTACTGTACTTTGCAGAGGGATTTCTTTCTCCTTTTTTTAAGCATCAGAAAACTTTTAAAGTTAAATATTATATATTTTATATATTTTTCTCCCTATCTCCCTCTTGTATTCAACAGATGACTGTTCATGGACAGAACCCCAAAGACATTTCTTCCCCCTCTCTTATCCCACATGTGAGATGCACAGTGCCAGCTAATGACTACCATCAAAACATTCATCTCTTGGGGCACTACAGCGATCATTAGAACATGGTCGTAGGAATGCAAGTGCCAGTGGCTGGGGTAGATACTTACGCTGCCAAAAACCAGGATGTCAAAACGGACCCCAAAGACTTTTATCAGAGTCCGTTTTTCAACATTGTTTTCCTTATAGTACTTGGCATATCTGTAGGAGGAAAAGGATCCACGTTTATAAAGATCTGTCTGAAAGTGCTGGTGTGTTATGAAAAGAAAAACTAAAACAATAGCTGGTCTAGTCTTCCCTCTCTATCTTCTAGCTTCATGATGGTCGGCAAAGGGAACACAATCCTAACCCACGAATCACTCTCTCTGACCACCCAGAACGGAAGCGCCGCTTCCCCACATCACCTCCTCTGCTTCCACTATCACAGAGTGATGAAAAGTCTGCTAATTTTGTTTAAGATGAAAAGGAACAACTTTTAACCAACAACATAGAATAAGCAAAAGGCAGAGATATTAAAACAAAAACACACAAAACCTTAAAGCCATCTGATTATTCCTGAAGAGGGAAAGATAGGTTTTCTAGAACAAAGTGTTGGGGGTGAATCTTAGATACTAATCACTGGGTTGGGGACAGGTACCTCAGCAATCTGTTTTAACCCTGTTTTCTTAGATTCTGTAGGTGTCTATTTGGCAGCCGTTATCACAGGGCCAAACGAACAACTGAAGTTGTTTACATCTCCCCTGCAGTCCAGCTTTTACAAGTGCATGAAAACCATGTTGGAAATTCTCCAACCAATCCCGACTCCATATCCCCCGCCACCTTTTTTGACCTAATTCTCACACATTCAGCCAATATTTTTGCTGCCTTACATCACCCAGGGCCAAGTACCAGACAACCAGAGACCACCCCTGGACCCTAGAGCCCACATTACTCAGACTAGTCAATTCTAAGCTGTTCCCCAGCCCTGCCTTGCCTTTTCCAGGACAAACACAATAAAATTCCTAAGCCATGCTTTCCCCTCCCTCCTCCCTCCTGACCAAACCTGGTGCTCCCCCCTGTGGCCGTGTGTGGCATAGCATGTCCCTACTTTTTGGAAATGTAATAAAATTCTTTCAATGGCATTCACCTATCCTTGTCATCACTTGGTCGTCTTAGAAATTAAGACCCACGTGCAAATCACAGTCACCCCAAATATGCATCTCTCACCAGTGCCACAGTCAGGAAAAGTGGTGTGTTTTATTTTTCATGAACAATTAGGGAGGCGTAAACCCCAGGCCTCAAGAAACTTTTCAATCTGTCCCTCCCCCTGTCTGCCTTTCAGTGGTTGTTTTTAGGCAAGGGTATATGCTTCCTTTCTGAGTTATTAATTCACAATCTATTTACAGGTGTGGGGAGGAAAGACAACAGAAGACAGATGCTCTGCCAGAATACTGTGGTGGTTTTTTTTTTTTAACTCTCAAAATCTGACATTGAGATTGGTTAGGTATTTTTAGGCACTTTAATGAGTTTCCAGCCAGAGGGGTTTCAGTATCTCTACATCTGATTGTTCTCATTCCCTGGCGGTTCTTTCTTCTCCTGTTCTATCCAGTGGCTTGTGTTCTAGTACACAGAGCAAGGATGCATCACCACTCTCTGCCCTGCGGTTGCATTGTCTTTCTATGCAAGTCCATTTGACGGGGAAGGCTAACATCCTACAATATAAATACTTGAATTTCTGCTTTCAAGGTCTTGAGAGAATGATTCTCAAACTGAGGGCAAGAATCACTTGGGAAGTGTGTTCAAAGGCAGATTCCTGGGCCTCAAGCCCAAAGCATGGTTTCAGAAGGTCTGAGATGTTTCTAAGAATCTCTGTTTCCAGGAGAGTACTACAGAGTTCTGGTGCAGGTGGTCAGGGGGCCACATTCTGGGAAATAGTAGGTCCTGGACAAGGATGTCTTTTTAAAAAATTATTTTCATTGATTTTAGGGAGAAGAATAGAGAGATAGAACATCAATGAGAGAGAAACATCATTCGGCTGCCTCCTGCAGCCCCCTTACTGGGAATTGAACTGGTGACCTCTTGCTTCATGGGTTGACCCTCAATCACTGAGCCACACTGGCCAGGCACAAGGATGTTTTTTGCACACTGTCATGGGTTGACCAGTCTCCCCCAGAAAGATATATCCAAGTACCTAACCCCTGTACCTCTGAATGTGAACTTATTTGGAAGTAGAGACTGCAGATGTAATTAAGGACCTCAAGATGAGATCAGCCTGGATTTAGGGTGGCCTAGATCCAATGACATGATAAAGGAGAGGGAGAGTTGAAACAAACACAGAGGAGAAGGCCAATACCACCGAGGCAGGTATTGGAGTGATGCAGCCACAGGTCAAGGAATGCCTAGAGCCAGCAGAAGCTGGAAGAGGCAGGGAAGGACCCTCCCCTGGAGACTTCTGAGTGAGTTTGTCTCTCCTAACACCTTGATGTGGGGCTTCTGGCCTCCAGAACTGTGAGAGAATATATTTCCGTTGGTAAAGCCACCATGTTTGTTGTCTTGTGTTACAGCAGGCACAGGAAACTAAAACACACACACACCCCTTCTCAACCAGGGAAGTGTATCCGGAGTTCTGTCTGCCTTAGCTACATATCCTGTACATAAGCTCACCTAGAAGGACTTTTGCCATGGACATCTTTTGGTAAAAGACAAAAATTCTGAAATGTGATCAACCTCTTCAAATTCCTATGTTTTAGAAAGTTGCATATTTTTTCATCTACCTCCTATAACCTGGAATTTGCCTTCTCTTTTGTGTGGCTGTTTGAAAATAACTTATCCATTACCCATCAGATCTGGACAATTTATTTCTGGCCAGAGATTTCTTCTGTTGCTTGTTCCAGACAACAAATGCTCTAACACTTTGTTCTAAAATAATATCAATATTATAACAGTCTCAGTTCTTCAGAAAGCTCAGATCTCTCCAGGAGCTAATGTTCTTAGGCTTAGCTCAGTGACTTGAAGGACATTTGCTAACATCTGGTCGGTACTTTGCCCTGCATGCTTCTGCTGATTGCTAAGGAAACAGCCTGTGAGGGCAGTGGGGGGACCACGGATCCCATCCTCTCTTCTTGCTAATGGCCACAGGCCTATTCAGTAGAGCAGCAGGGGATGACCAAAACCTTTCCTAAGTGTGGAACTGGTTTCAGAGCCCTGGATGAAACTCGGTTGGAATTGCCTGTCTTTTTAAATTTTTGCCATTCTGGTAGGTGTGTAGTTATAGCTCATTGTGGTTTGAATTTGCATTTCTCTGGTGTTTAATGATGTTGGCTTGTTGGAGGTTTTTATTTACTTACACTTTTGTCTTATATTTATATATTATACTTACAATAATTCTTATATTCATATCCTATTAGAATATAAGCTTATGAAAGCAACTTTGTCTTTTTTGTTTGCAAATATATTTCCATTAGAGGAACCCATATTTTTTTCTTCAACATATATTTAATTAGTGAAAAATATGAAAAATACCAATATCAATTTTCTATTTAAAATTTTTAAAAAATATTTTTATTGATTTTTAGAGAGAGAGGAAGGGAGAGGGGAAAGAAAGAGAGAGATAGAAATGATGAGAGAGAATCATCAATCAGCTGCCTCCTGCATGCCCCCCACTGGGCACCGAGCCCACAATATGGGCATGTGCCCTGACCAGGAATCGAACCCAGCAACCTCTTGGTTCATGGGTTGATACTCAATCATTGCGTCACACCAGCTGGGCCCAGCATCAATTTTCTACCAGCTTCATAGGCAAATTCTATAACCATTATTCTAGGGATATACTTGCACACTTTTTCTGAAAAGGGAACAGCATAAGTCTACTTTGTTCCTGGAACTGGGCACAAAATGACTAGCCATAACCACAGTCCCAGACACCTGCCTGGCTCCCACAGCAATGATAAGTTTTGGAGACTGTGTTGTAAACCTCACACTGAAAGGCCACCATTACTGCTGGGACAGAGTTGTAGGAACAGGCTGAGAAAGTTATCCAGATATAGGAGGAAACATGGACACCACATCAGGATGGCACAGGACCACCACTGGGCAAAAGTCAGGAGCAGAGGAGTGAACTGTCAAAGCAAGAACAGATCAGCACCTGCCCGCTGAAAAGTCCAAATGAACCAGGATTCTAGTGAGTTCACAGGGTTGACATCCGGAAGCCAGAAGCATACAGGATGCCCTGCAAAGAACCTTCGAGGTAAGACAGAATGGCAGTGAGGAAGCAATGTGGCCCAGGTGTCAGGAGTCCTTAAGATGTTCGTAGAGCTCGGTGTGGCTCAGTGGTTGAGCATCCACCCATGAACCAAGAGGTCCCTGGTTTGATTCCTGGATAGGGCACATGCCCAGGTTATGGGCTCAATCCCCACAGAGGACATGCAGGAGGCAGCCAATCAATGATTCTCTCTCCTCCTTTCCTCGCTAAAAAATAATAATAATTAAAAAATCAATAAAACCATTTTAAAAAAGATGTTCTTAGCAGAAGGACTTCACGATGGAGCATGAGCTAGTATCAGAAGCCCACCACCCTCACCCCAAACACAAAGAAATGCAAGATAAAGTCATTTTAAAGTCCTATGAATATATTGCTGAGCTCAAAACAAAGAACGGCATTTTCTAGGTGCTAAAGATAAATTGGGACTGAAGCCATGAGACCCCTAGAGATACCAGGACCAGATCTGTATCTGGCAGGCCTCTGGGGAGCCAAAGGTGGCCAGTCTGACCTCAAGCACTGTTACCTGAAGTTGTAGCCAGGGTACAAGGACTCATTGGTTGTCTTGTCGTCAAGGCGTCGGAAACTGTATTTTGGACGGCAGTGATGGAACCAACTATCCAGGTTGCAGTCCCAGTTGATCTCAATGGCCATGATTCCCCCCTGAGGAAAATAACAAGAAGCTATCTCTAAGTCCTGCTGGGCATGGGGTGCAGCTACCAGACATCTCCCTGCATAGCGATGATCACTGAAGGAAAGGACTTACATGCTTCTTCAGCCACCCCATCCTCCTCAATTCAAGGTGACCTTTTTCTCCTCTGAACATCTAAGGAATCTCTTCCTTTTTACAAACGTATTTTGAGCACTGACTATCATATTTCATTGAATCTTACTTCACTGAATCTTAGACACTATTGCTGGTAAGACATAATTTTTTTATGTTCCTCTAAGAAGAAAATGCTGTCAATTAAAATGTGAGACTCCATCAGTTGAAATCACTTCCTGATTTCAGAACTACCAGAATGTGAAAAAATGTCTTTGAATCATGAAATATGGCGTTTGGAGACAGTATGCTAGAAGCTAGAGATACAGCGATGTGGAATTGGCAGCCTCTGACTTGGAGAAAGGAAAAATAATACAGAATAATCACAATTGTTATTTATTGCCTGGCACTAAACCAAGCACTCTACATATTATAGTGACTATCTAATGTTTTTGTCATTCATCATCCAAAGAGCCAGGAAATGCAAGGAATTTAGCTCTGGAGGTGGAAAAGGTGAGGAAATAGATTCTCCTGCTGGCGCCTTTGGTGGGAGCCTCACCCTGTTGCTAACCTGATTTCAGCTCAGTAAAACTGACTTTGGACTTCTGATCTCCAGAAGTGTAAAAAAAAATGTGTGTTGCCCTGCTTGGGTGGCTCAGTTGGTTAGGGTGTTGCCCCAATACACCACAATTTGAGTAGACATTTCTACAAAGAAGGTACGCAAATGCTTAATAAGGATATGTAACATGTTCAATATCTCTAGTCAGTAGGGAAATGTAAATCAAAAGCACAATGAGATACTTCACCCCACTGGCATAGCTATAAACAAAACAGACAATTAAAAAGATGGCAAGGGCACATACAAGAATCAACCAATGAATGCATAAATAAGTGGAACAGCAAATCTCTCTCTCTCTCTCTCTCTCTCTCTCAAAAAAATAAAATAAAATAAATAAATAAATAAATACTTTATTTTAAGCCACCAAGTTGTGGTCACTTATTATAGCAGCCTCAGGAAATTAATGTACCAAGTATCTCACGCCTGGGATTGTTGTGAAAGTACTTGACATCATGGATGGATTTACTAAATGCTCAATAAAGGGAACCATATTATTAAGACCAAGTGGCTCAGCCCCTTGGCCATTTGACATCTTCCCTTCCCCTGACACAACTTCCCCCACAAACCTCCTGGTACGAAGGCACCACCAACCTTAATTGCCACTTCTGAAAAGTTATATCCTGTTTCTTGGAAGATATCTCCTAGTCGGAAAATAGGACACTGTGGATTCTGAGTCTTGTGATAGGTGCAAGTGATGTTTACATCTGGCAAGATGTTTCTCCTGCACATAATGAAAAGCAAACAAACACTTCCATTGAACACTTGCATAGGAATGAGCCAGTGTGGTGACTGGGCTCCATGAGGGCCCCCAGTGGTCCCCACCTCTGTGTATTTGTACCCTCGTGTAGTCCCCTCCCACATAGTAGCAGGATTGGTCTGTGACCAGTAGCACATGGCAGAAGTGATGGTGTGTCACTTCCAAGGTTAGGTTATAAAAGACTGTGACTTCCATCTTGGTTACTGTCTTGCTTGCTTGCCCTCTGTCTCCCTTGGATCATTTGCTGCGGGGGAAGCCAGCGGCTGTGTCCTAAGAACTCTCAGGCAGTGCCAGGGAGAGGCCCCAATGAGTGAGCTTGGATTCTCCAGCCCTAGTCAAGCCTAGAGTGACTCCAGCCTCATTGAGAGCTCAGTTGCAACCTGAGAGGCCCTGAGTCAGAACCACTCAGGCAAATCTTTCCCAGATTCCTGGTCCACAGAAACTGTGTAAGATAATAGATGTTTGTTGTTTTAAGCTTCTAGCTCTTCGGGTAATTTGTTACACAGCAGTAGATAACAATATGGTCAGACACTCTGGTCACTTACGTGGTGTAATTGTGGCGGGGGAAGTCGATATTATTCTTGATGAGCACAGTGAAGTTTTCAGCACTGTTCAAGAGCGCAGGCCTGAGTGAGAGACATGCACAATGGAGATCAATGACTACAGGGACGGAGGGAGGAAGCGGGCCAGTGGGACCAGCGGCTTCCGGTCCCTTGCTTGGGTCATTGCAATGAGTGAAGAGAAATGCAATCTAGTTGGCAAAACGTTCTAAAAGTCTCCAGCTTCTCCAGTAAGAATTTCTCCCTTCTTATTGGGAGAAGAGACCCTATGGCAGTTCTCACAGCCTGATATAATTGTATGTTTAGGTATGTGCCGTGGTGTGCTGATAAATCAACCCACTCTTCAGGGAAAGAAAAAAAAAAAGCTCTGATGTGTAGCATTTACTGATTATTGTGGTATAAATACTCCCACCATGTCTGATTTCAGGCTACCAGTGGGACATCTTTGAACTTGGAGTTGGGAAGGGATGCACATAATTGGCTCAGAGGTGGTACAAGCCAACTCCATCATACCCCCCTTATATCTTTCCCAAAAGGCTGGTGTTCCTGGAGGGCTGGGACCATAATTTTCTTATCTTGACTTCCCCATTCTTGAGGACAGCACCACACACGTAGTTGATTCTGTCAGTCATTCTCCCAGAGGCCTTATGTAACATGGAATTCTGCATGAGTTAGAGGAGCCCAAATTCTAGACGGCAGGAAGGTCTACCCACCATCCTTCTATCTATTTATTTGACAAATAATTATTGGACTGAGCATGAGACTGGGTGTTGGGGATGTAGTGATGAACAAGATAGTTAAGGTTTTTGTACTTATGCAGTTAACAATCTCTGAAAGATGGAGAGAACTGGCTGTGGATTAAAAAGGTGCCGCTGGGCCCTAGCTGGTTTGGCTCAGTGGATAGAGCATCAGCCTGCAGACCAAAGGGTTCTGAGTTCGATTCCGGTCAAGGGCACCGTGCCTCGGTTGCAGGCTCCTCCTCTGCCCGGGCCCTGGTCAGGGTGTGTGCGGGAGGCAACCAATCAATGTGTTTCTCTCACATTGATATTTCTCTCTGTCTTTCCCTTTCTCTTCCACTCTCTCTAAAAATCAATGGAAAAATATCCTCGGGTGAGGATTAAAAATAAAAAGTACAGCTGGTATGCTGTTACCTGGCAGGCCTGAGTAGGTGGAAGATATCCTATATAATAAAAGGCTAATATGCAAATCGACCAAATGGCAGAATGAGCAGTTGTTATGACGCACACTGACCATGAGGGGGCAAACGCTCAATGCAGGAGCTGCTCCCTGGTGGTCAGTGTGCTCCCACAGGGGGAGCACCACTCAGCCAGAAGCCAGGCTCACAGCTGGTGAGCGCAGCAGGGGTGTCAGGAACCTCTCTCATCTCCACAGCAGCCCTAAGGACCCCTTGGGGGATGTCTGCGTGGAGCAGGTCTAAACTGGCAGGCGGACATCCCTCAGTACCTGGACTTGAGAGGGCGCAGGCCAGGCTAAGGGGACCCCCCCCCCCCCCGCAGTGCATGAATGTCATGCACCAGGCCTCTAGTATATATATACACACATATATATATATATATATATATTGAGGGTAGTACCAGGAAAGGGTGGAAAGAATTGGAAGAGGGCACCAAGAACGATCTGCTTTTTATTCCAGGACTTGCAGAGCCCAACTTTGGCTTTATTTGGGACATAGCTATAAAGAACAGTCTAATTTTTGCCTGTTCAGCATCCATTCCCCCTCTGACAGTAGCCCTTCAATTCTCTCCCTTTGGGGAAGCCAGGTCTCTTCCACTCTCAGCTCAGAGGCCTGGGTGGGAATGAGTCCATGTCCTGCTCATCCCTACAGCTCCTGGAGTGTGCAAGTGACCCAGAGCTGGCCAAACAGTGTAATCCAATCTCCTTGGCCACAGTGATAGATTCAGATTATCATGTGACTTGGGCCAATGAGAACATTCCAGGGCTTTTGTAGGAACTATTGGGGGGTAAGGTGGGGGGAGAAGTAATTTTCTTTTGGACTGTTAGTAGTAAGGACAGTAAAAATCTTGAGTTCCCCCACACCACAGCATGAAGAGAGCTAAAGAAAGAATAATTTCAGGGGAGGAAGAGAGAGAATCTTAATGACATCATTTAAAACCTGTAACAAGCTTTACTTGAAGCCATACTTCTGAACTTCTCATTGTCAGGAGTCAAAAACACAAGCCAAAAAGTAACACTCTTTTTCTGAAGCCAGTTTAAATTGTATATCTGTCACTTGCACAAAAGAAAATCTTAGTTATGACAAATGCCTGCTATGTGCTGGACCATTTGCCTTTAGAACATTCTAGATCCCATGCTTCCTAGGCAACACTGTAATTAGAATCAGAGGACTATAGGATCCTAAAACTTTAAGGATCAAAGCCCTTTATTCCTCTCTCATGATATTTACAGTTTTCCACCTTGAATTACAACTCTGCACATATATCTATCTCTTTTATTAGACTGCAAGAGCCTTATCTGGGTCATTTTGTATTTTACATAAAATTTAGCACAGCCTCGCCTGGCCAGTGTGGCTCTGTGATTGAGCGTTGACATATGAACCAGGAGGTCAAGATTTGATTCCCAGATTGTGGGCTCAATCCCCAGTGTGGGGTGTGCAGGAGCCAGCTGATCAATGATTCTCTCTCATCATTGATGTTTCTATCTCTCCCTCTCTCTTTCCTCTCTGAAATCAATAAAAATATTATGGGTACAGTGTCTTGTCTAGGTTCAAGCCTCGGACTAATGAAAGGACAGGGTCCTCTCGGTGCCATGTGCAAGTCCCAGCTGGAGGGCAGGGCCCTCCCAGCACAATTATAGCCAGCGGCTGTGGTTGTAAGCTTGAACCTATGGTCGGAACACGTAGCCCCACATGCCTTGTGATAGAGTTCGGGTGCATGTAGTTAAGTGAGGTCGAAACTCACGAGAATGCTGTAAACAACGTGATCACTCCCCTACTTTGCCTCGTGGCATTTGCTATAAAATAAAGACACGGCTGTGGGCGCTGGCGCTGTCTCCCCATCAGGGAGCAGCGTCCCACCGAGACCCAGCTTTCATTCTCTTGTCTGTCTTTTCTCAATCCTTTCATCCCCCCCACTCAGGGTCACTGAACCAGGCTGAGCTGGCATGGCACATAAAGCACCCTGGGGCTGAGTATGCCATGGCCGTGCCGGCTCCCCACAAAATATATTTGGGGAAAAAATTTAGCACAGCCTTTTGTATATAGTTACACATGAAATAAATATCTAATACCTACTACATGGTCATAGATGTGTTGAAGGAATGAATGATTACATGGATCATTTTAGTAATTCTAGAACCCATGCTCATATGACATATGAGGAAACAAGTTCAGGAACTTGCTTGCCCAAGATCATGTAGAATTGCAGCAGCACCTTGGAGATGCACAGTACCAGTATTTATCTGGTGAATGAGTTGATGGCAGAGCCAGGACTGAAAACCATAGACAACCAAGAGGCCCCTTGCCTTGAAGCGGGATGACCTGGGTGTAGGCTAATGTCCCTGAGCAGTTCCTTCTTTGATAATGAATCTTCCTTGACCTAGAAATGAACCTGAGTGGTGCCATTAACTGATTGAGGGTAAGACAGGCTGACACTGCCTAGTGCTTCCTACTCTAATATTGGGAACCTTTTCCTGGACCTTCTAAAAAGTTAGTTTGGGGAACTCTTTGCCCCACAGGTTCTGGTGGTGTGACCCTGAGTCACATTTGTCTAATGCTGTGCTGTACAGGATAGTCCAACATCCCCTAGGCAAGTGTGACTAATTACAATTAAATTAAATTCAGTGGCTCAGTTGTAGTAGCCACATTTCAAGTGCTCAATAGCCACATGTGGCCACTGTATCAGACAGCACAGAAAGAGAACATTTCCATCATTATGGAACGTTCCACGGACAGTGCTAGTCTAGAACCACCAAACTTCTATGGGCAGATCATGTGTGTGTGTGTGTTATTGAGCACTTACTATATGCCAGGCACTGGGCTCACTTTGCAATCATAATAAAGTATCTCATTTAATTCTCACATCAGTCCACTGAGAAAATTTACAGATGAGAAAATTAAAGTTCAGAGAGGTTAAGCAACTTGCCCAAGGTCACACAGCAAAGAAGTATTAGAGTCAGGATTTGAATCTAGGTCTCTCTCTTCTCTGCTGAAATGCATCAGTCCCTGTGGTTTCTGAGATTTAAATCAAGTTCTGCCTCTGGACCTGACCTTGTGTGTTAAAGAGAAGTCACTGCCCTGCTGGTCTGGCTCAGTGGTTGAGCGTCAACCCCATGCACCATGCACCAAGAGGTCACCAGTTCAATTCTGGGTCAGGTCACATGCCTGTGGGCTTAATCCCAGTAGTAGGCATGCAGGAGGCAGCCGATCAGTGTGATGTTTCTCATGGATGTTTCTATTTCTCCCTTTCCCTTCCTTTCTCTAAAAAAAAAAAAATCAATAAAAACATTTTTTAAAGAGAAGAGTCACTACAGCGACCACCAAATCTGTCACTGTGATCATTTTAATATATCTATATATCTATATCTATACACACACACACACACACACATTTTTATTGACCTCAGAGAGGAAGGGAGAGGGAGAGGGAGAGAGAGAAACATCAATGATGAGAGAGAATCATTAATCAGCTGTCTCTTGCATGCCCCATACTGGGGATCAAGCCTGCAACTGGGACATATGCCCTGATCAGGAATTGACTGTGACCTCCTGGTTCATAGGTTGACCTTCAACCACTGAGCCACGCCAGTCAGGCTTTCACTGTGATCATTTAAGAAAACTTCCCTTCTCTTCCTCCCTTCCATTTGTTTTCCTTCCTTGCCCCTTCCTTCCTTTTGTTCTTTCTTCCCTCCCTGTCACCTCCCCATCCTTAATCCCTGAGTATGGACACTGACAAGTCAGAACTGGAGTAGGGCTTGAGGTGCCCTGGAACATGCTGGCACAGAAAGGAGGCAGGGGCACCCCAGAGTGTTCAGGGAAGTAGCTATTTACCAGTCAGTACAGAATTATTTTAATATTTTAACTAGCATGGCCCTCCCAGAGACCACCCGTGTGCCTGGCATGGGGTCCCCAAGCCAGTAGGACCCAGGATGTTGTGGGACTGCCCTGAGAAGAGAAGCTAGATCAGCGCCTGGCAAGGCCTCACCTACGCACTGCTGAGGGCCACAGGTCAGTCCCCACCCTGCAACTTACTGGGGGGGCTCTTCCGTTGCCTCGGTGGGACACCAGGCAGAGACTTCACAGGTCTTCTTCGGAGGCTGCAGTTTATACGGTATACACTTTCCGGTCTGGATTCCTGCAGGGTCAAGGGGTCACAGAAGCACACGTGTGAAAGAACCGTGGGAGGAAACTCTCAACCCAAGCAGGAGACCATGCTTTTCAGCTCGAGCAGTTTCAGTTTCCATGAAACCCCGACTGAACCACAAGCTTATTAAGCTGACCAAGCAACATATTGAACGGTAGGCGTTTTTTAAAAAAGCATCAGAGAGAACATAGGAAGACCATGGATGCTGTTGGCTTGTTTGGCTTCTTTGAAAGAAAGATGCCCGAGAGGGGAGCTGGACAGGGTGTATTCTCTGAACTGGGAAAATGGACTAGAACTTGGCTTCTTATTGGGCATCTGAGTCCCTCGAGGAGTGTACAGCATGTGTCAGGGATGTGCAGAGTTGCAGAATAAACATGGCACATCTTGCCTTGGTCAGTGTGTTCAGTGGTTAGAGCGCCGGCCCGTGCACTGAAGGGTTGTGGGTTCGATTCCCAGTCAAGGGCATATACCTGGGTTGCAGGTTTAATCCCTGGCCCTGGTCCAGGTGCGTTCAGAAGGTAACCGATTGGTGTGTCTCTCTCATGTTGATGTTTCTTTCTCTCTCCCTCCCTCCCTTACTCCCTTCCACTTTCTAAAAATCAATGGAAAAATATCCTCAGGTGAGGATTCAAAATAAAACAACAAAAACACGGCACAGCTTCCTGGAGCATCAGGGTCAGTTAAAGATTCCCGAGGGCAAAGTTAAATAGCAAGTAATGTTAAAATGATCTCTATAGCAACTCAGACATACATGTATTATGGAATAAGAATGCAACATTCATAGGCCCTTCGTGTGTGTTTTATAACTACCAATATTTTTTCTTTTCTTTTTATTCTTTTATTTGGTAACTTTATTGTCATGTGCCCTTTATGTTAAAACAGGAAACATGGAGCCTGGCTGGCGTAGCTCAGTGGTTGAACATTGACCTATGGAGCATTGACCTATGAACCAGGAGGTCACGGTTGGATTCCTGGTCAGGGCACATGCTCCGGTTTTGGGTTCAATCCCCAGTGTGGGGCGTGCAGGAGGCAGCCGATCAATGATTTCTCTCATCATTGATGTTTCTATCTCACTCTCCCTCTCTGAAATCAATAAAAAATATATATTAAAAACAAAACAAAACAGGAGATGGAAATTCTGCAGGTTAATTTGTGTATGGTCCCCAGGTGTCATAAGGGTACAAGTTCAAGCTCCCCCACCTTGGTGGAAATTCAAGACAGAAAGTTTAGTATACTCTGATGATACTATAGGCCATTTGATTTTTCCGTCAGGTAGAACCCTGAAGGTGCTAATTTTGCAAGGTTTTAGGAGCTCTCCTCCTCACTGGGGAATTAAAGTCACATTCACATCAGCAGCTGGTCCTCTGAGGACATAGCCAGACTCACCCATGGTCTGCTGAAGGTGGAAGAAGGCAGCTGAGAGCCAGAGTTAAAGATCTCAACTTTAGGACACTGTGAATGTCACCAGCATGCCAGACCATTCATCCCCATCGTCCCAAAAAGAGACAGAACGTACCTTTGCTCTGCGGGTCCAACCATCCCTTTTTACAGCCCCGGTCAGAGGAACAGAGTGTCCTGCGGGTAGGGTGCTGCCAAGAGAAGGACAGGGTAGCGAGGAGTGAGTATCGAGTGCCTCTAAGATATAGAAAAGCAGCTGTCCTGTGTCCACACAAAAACTTGTACACAGATGGACACAGCAATTCATAATAGCCAAAAAAAGTGGAAACAACCCAAATATTCATCAACTAATGAGTGGACAGGTAAAATATAGTACATTTATACAGTGGAATATTATACAACCACGAAAGGAATGAAGTACTACTGGCTCATGCTACAACATTGGCAAACCCTGAAAACAGTGTGATAAGTGAAAGAAGTTAGACACAAAAGACCACAGATTGTAGGATTCATTTATATACAATATCCAGAATAGGCAAATCCGTAGAGACAAAAAGCAGATCTGTGGTTGCCAGGGGCTGGGGAAGGGGGAATGGGGAGAGACTGCTAATGGATATGAGGTTTCTTTTTAGGGTGATGAAAATGTTCTGAAATGGTGATAGTTGCACAATGTTATGAATGTACTAAACTACTGAATTGTACACTTTAAAATGTCGGAGTTTTGCCTGGCCAGCATGGTTCAGTTGTTGAGCATTGACCTATGAACCAGGAAGTCATGGTTCTATTACCAGTCAGGGCACATGCCTGGGTTTTGGGCTCAATCCCCAGTGTGGGGCGTGCAGGAGGCAGCCAATCAATGAGTCTCTCTAATCATTAATGGGTTTTTTCTCTCTCTCCCTCTCCCTTCCACTCTGAAATCAATAAAAATATATTTAAAAAATAAAATAAAATGGTGGGTTTTGTGGTATATGAATTATATCTCAATAAAAACTAAAAATAAATAAAAATCGAAAATGCAGAAGTCAGGGCAGCCTGGAGCCACTGGCAGGGACAGCCCTCGGTGTGCAGCCAGAGGCCTGGTCCAAGCGGCTCTGTGGCTGCAGAACTGAATGAAGCAAATGGCATGAAGGCTCAGCAACCGATATGGAAATAAGGGGCGCCAGCCGGCCCAGCCTCCTGGCCTGAGAAAATGAGGTCTCAGGACTGATAGCGAGGACAGAGGAGGGAAAAGAGAAACGTGATGACTTGGCTTCTGTATTCAACTTCCCATTTCCTCGGGAGCAGGTTCACTGGCCAGTCTTAGGGAGACCAGGATGTGACACAGCCGCCAAGAAAATAGCTGCTGCTCATTATATCCTGTGCAGTGTGTGGCTTTTACAGAGATTCAACAGGGCCTCTGCGCCATCGTCTAGCTGCATGACTGGTCAAGTCCCTGCACCTCTCTCAGCCTCAGTTTCCTCCTCTGTAAAAGGAGGGTGAACCGATCTGCCTGAAGTGGTTGCTGTGAAGATGAAATGAGCATTATTGATACAGACAAAGGGAATGTTAGCCTGGTTCCAGGGTTAGGTGGACACACGGCGAAGACTGTCATAGGAGAGAGCAGATCTACCCCGAGCTCTCAGACACTCAGACCTTGTCACCTGTGTGGGCTGATAAGCAAGACCCACGGGCAAGGCTGGTCCTCCCCCAAGCAGGAGACCTGCTCAATAGTGTCCCAATGCTGCACCCCTCGGTGCTGGGATGGTCCCTGGTAAAGCACAGGCATTACCTGAGTGGGCAATGGCAGGAAGGTGCGAGGAATAGGTAATATCTTGTAACACATCGCTCTAGATAAACTTACCAGAATATCTTAAAGAACAGAGGGCAGGACTGGAAAGGGGCAGAGTAGGACAAGTACATTTTTTTTAGAATGCATAAGAATTTTTCTTTGGTTTTTAATAATTATAAATGTAATGCATAGAATATAGCTATGTATCAGGAAATACTTGTTTTTCAATTACTTTTTTTTAAAATCTTCACCTGAGGATACTTTTTCATTGATTTTTAGAGAGAGTGGGGAAGACAGAGAGAAATATCGATGTGAGAGAAACACAGCGATTGGTTGCCTCCTGCTCGCTCCGCGACCAGAGCTGGGCCTGCAACCGAGGTACATGTCCTTGACCGGAATGGAACCCGGGGCACTTTGGTCTGCAGACCAACGCTCTGTCCACTAAGCTGAACTGGCTAAGGCAGGACAAATACATTTTGATAGGGAAGAAAGTTTTCTGGAAAGAGGTAGGGGAAGGTCAAGAGTCTGGAGAGGGCAAAGTCAAGTTGGGAAAGACTACATGGGTGGTGGTGGTAGGGAGACAGGTAGCATTTACCTGATGCGGAGACTGAAAGGGTAGGAAGTGGGGTGATAATAAACAAGCAAAAAGAAGTGCAGTGAGAAGGCAAATGTGAGCTGTGTGACAATGTTCCCAGACAGACAGTTCGCAGTTGTTCATAGTAGGAAAAGCCAGGTAAGAGAATGCCTGTGTTCTAAACAGGGCTCTGCCTGCAGCAAGCTGTGCAACTTAACCTGTCTGATCTGCGTCTGACCTGTAAAATGGGGCTGGGAATGCTGTTACCCTCCTAAATTTGTGAGGCTCCACTGAAATGTGAAATGCCGCATAAATGCCAAAGATCAGTGTTGTCAGGAGCCATGCGGGAGGGAGCCATGGAGGAAGCAGGCCTGTAGCCTGCACAGGTGCCTAGTACCTGAGCTGGAGACAGGGGACAGGCAAAGATGGGGCGGCTCCAGAGAGAGAACTGCAGTGTCTTCTGATGCAGCCCAGACCCACACTCAACAAAGGAGGCTCAGTAATGTTTGGGAGCTGGAAGACATATCAGATCTCAATTCCCACATTCTCCCACCCTTTCTCTTGCCTGAGTCTCCTCCAGAACTGCTCTGGGTCCCTTCCTTACCTCTGGACAAAGCCCCCGCACCTGGCCCTTTGTCTTGAGAAAGTTTGTCATCACAAAGAAGGAATTCCCCTGCGAAGAAAAAAGGAGAGAAGTTCAATGCAAAGCCTTTGAGAACAGAACTATTTAATCTTAATTATCCAGCTTGCTAAGTGCCTGGGGGCGAACCCTTCCACTCTGCTAAACTTCAGTCTGGAAATCAGGATCTGGGAGCAAACTTGGGACTACACTGAGGACTTAATATCAAAACTGGATGAGCCGCCCTGCTGAGCCGAGAGAGCAGAGGCACATGGAAACTGATTGAGGATTCCTTTTCCATTCCAGCTTCCCAGTAAAAACCCATTAAATTGAAACTCAGGAGACCTGGGGAGGCAGAACTGGGGGTGTTTGTTGGCTTCAGCAGAGTGCTGTTCAGATTATCTAGGACTTTAATAAAAGGGCAATAGGACACCCCACCACCTGGGAAATAGCAGGAGAATTTAATGACCCGCTGTTAGCAACAAACAGATAACAGCTTAGTTTTTATGGTTTTACAAAGCTGTCCAGCTCCCAGAGGCCCTTTTGTCTCTCCGGCCTCCCACATGTTCTCGAGTCACCTTCGACTTCTTCATTTCTAATTTCATTTTCTCTTCTTGCGAATTTAGGCAGCTGGATGCCCTTTCTGTGTGATCCACACCCTTTCTTTCTTTGTCCTTTGTATCCTTCCTTAAACACCAAGAGTGTTTTCCTGGAGACAGTTTGTTGACAAAGTGCCACACAAACAATACAGAAGGGCTGGTCCTCTCCAGGCGGAAAGTTCTTTGTCCGTCTGAATCTAGGCAGCCCTTGCTGACTCCTTGGCCCTGCTTCTAAAAAGCGGTGTGGAAGTCAAAGTGTGAGTGAATTCAGTCATGTTTTAAATGCACCAGGACACACAGCTATTTTGAGAAGCCCTGGAGGACTTGATAAAGCAAAGAATCATCTCCTTTGAGCTGTTAGATCTGACCCAGTTTTGCAATTTTTAGGTTTTCTCTGTTGGTATTTTGACAGAGCTTTTTAAATAGGGCCAGTATTTTTCTGGAGTAAGGCTCTAGGTCCCAGGGCTGGGGCCAGGGGGAAGGGTACGAGGCCCTGGTGACAGTGAGCAGGGATGCGTCCTGGGAGGATGCTGACCAGTGCTCACCTGCACGGGGAAGGTGTAATCTGCCGTGTCGAAGACTCTGTGCACCTCCTCTCCATTCTCCAGAATCTCCTCTCTCACCTCCGCTATGCCTTTCACCTTGGTGTGCACAGAGCTGGTCAGAGGCTCTTTCCGCTGGTACCGCTTGTCACACAACAGAGCAAAGCTGAGTGGAGGAAACAGAAAAGCATTAGTGGTTTTCTCGAGGGAGGCCCAATGCCGTGGTTTTGGATGGAAGCTGCCTCCATTCCAATCTGAGCTTTGCTAGGGAACTTTGGGTCAGCAACTTGCCTTGTCTGCAACTCATTTTCCTCGTGTATAAGATGGGAAGAATGGTTATACCTACCTTGTAAGTGCTAGATCTGATAAAATAATCGAATGGATGTTCCCTCCCCTGGGAAACTGACCTTTAGATCATTTTACAGTCAACATTCCTTTTTGCTTAGACCACATTCCATTTGCTAAGACCAGTAACTTTCCCCTCCAGACTTGCCCAGGATCCGGTCCCGCCCAAAGAATTCACTGCTGAAAAAGCCTAGAGTCCTTTAAAATCTTTGACTCCCACCCCTGGGTGCTGGCACCATTTTGGGGCTCAGCCATCTGGTTTCCCGGTGACCTAATAAATTCATAATTGTTTACCCCTTTTGGCCTCATGCGCTCCTCCTTCAGCGACCCTAACAGTGGGGTTGTTGATGAATTATGTATGCAAAGTCCACACAGTGAGCGCTGGCTACATGGAAACTATCGCCCCAGTGTCAACCTCTAATATTGCCTAATACAGATAGACCCTAATTTACAGGACAGCTTCTCAAATACCAGAGTTCACCTGGCATTAATTCACCAGCTTTGTTCTGGGGCTCAGAAACCCATCGGTACCTATTTAAGGGTATGTCCAGCAGGTCAGCCACCTGTTTTCTAGAAAGACACACCTGTTGTATAAATAATATTGATAATACGCGCTACCCTTTGTTGAGCACTTCAGACGTGCTGAGAGCTCACACACATCATTTCCTTTCATCCTCACACCAATAGGAGATAGTATCGTCATCATCGTCTTCTGTAGATGAGAGAATGGGCTCAGAGAGGTGAAGGATCTTGCCCACAGATAGGCAGTGGCAGAACTGAGGTTCTTGACTGGTCTACCACGTAGTCCAGAGCCAGACCTTTTAACCAGGTGCTATTCTTGTTCATGCCTTATGTAGCTCTGCCTCCAGTTTCCTGCCTTTCAGGTCAGTTCATTAGCTGTTAATACCTTATTTAGAACATGAATGTAAATTACTGTGGTGGGGGAACTAAAAAGGGGAAGTGGAATTGATTATTAAAAATGGTAGATTTCATTTCCACATGTTTTCCCTGCCTCCCATTGCCCAAAATAATTAAGAGTTTATCCTAAATCAGTGATGGCGAACCTTTTGAGCTCGGCGTGTCAGCATTTTGAAAAACCCTAACTTAACTCTGGTGCCGTGTCACATATAGAAATTTTTTGATATTTGCAACCATAGTAAAACAATGATTTATATTTTTGATATTTATTTTATATATTGAAATGCCATTTAACAAAGAAAAATCAACCAAAAAAATGAGTTCGTGTGTCACCTCTGACACGCGTGTCATAGGTTCGCCATCACTGTCCTAAATGCTTTCTTTATTCATTCAGCATGTGTTTATTTGATCTCTTCCTTCTGCCCAGCCCCTAATATATGAAGGATATTGGGAAGTCTAAGTCAACAGCTGCCCACTTGGTGCTGACCTTGGAAGCCAAGACAGAGTGGGCCAAGACATGGTCCCAGCTGTTCTCAACCAGGGAGCTTTCAAAATTGTAGCTCCCAGGGCCAGCCCTGGAAACTATGGTTCTATAAATCTGGAGAGTTATCCAGGTGCCTATATACCTTTTAAAAGTCACCCTGGCAAGCTTGGCTCAGTGGATAGAGCGCCGGTCTGTGGACTGAAGGGTCCCAGGTTCGATTCCAGCCAAGGGCACATGCCTGGGTTGCGGCTCAATCCCCAGTAGGGGACGGGCAGGAGGCAGCCTATCAATGATTCTCTCTTATCACTCATGTTTCTATCTCCCTCTCCTCCCCCCTTCTGCTCTGAAATAAATAACTGAAATAAATAAAGAAATATATTTTTAAAAGTTAAAAAAAAAAGTCACCCTGCTGATTTTAATACACAGTCAGGTTTGAAAACCCCTGGGAATTGCATGAAAAGATAACGTGTATTTGCCAATATGAAGTCCACCTGAAGACGTGCATTCCCCATGACCCAGCAGTTCCATTCGCACGTGTATGCCCTGGAGACACCCTCATACTGGTACATGTGCCTAAGGAGGACTGTACAGAATGTTTATGGCAGCATTCTTTGTATGAGGGAAAACCAGAGATAACCTAAATGTCCTTGAACATTGAATGGATAAATAAATTGTTGGATTCACACAGTGGGATGCTCTACAGCAGGGGTGGGGAATGTCGGCCAGGGCTATATAAGGCCCAATAAATCATTTGGTCTGGCCCTTTCAGGGCATTAAAAGTGAATTACTTAAATGTTTGACCAAATATATATAGCAGGCTAATTTTTAAGTTAATAATTTTGTATGGTCCTCGAATGATGTTATAAATATCTAAATGGTCCTGGGCAGAAAAAAAGGTTCCCCACTCCTGCTCTACAGCAGTGAGAATGATGGCAAGCTAATTGTATCAATATGAAAATAACAATGTTGCCCTGACCAGTTTGGCTCAGTGGCTAGAGCAGGGGTGGGCAAACTTTTTGACTCGAGGGCCACAATGGGTTCTTAAACTGGACCGGAGGGCCGGAACAAAAGCATGGATGGAGTGTTTGTGTGAACTAATATAAATTCAAAGTAAACATCATTACATAAAAGGGTACGGTCTTTTTTTTTTTAGTTTTATTCATTTCGAACAGGCCGGATCCGGCCCGCGGGCCGTAGTTTGCCCACGGCTGGGCTAGAGCGTAGACCTGTGGACTGAAGAGTCCCAGGTTCAATTCCGGTCAAGGGCATGTACCTTGGTTGCGGGCACATCCCCAGTAGGGGGTGTGCAGGAGGCAGCTGATGGATGTTTCTCTCTCATGGATGTTTCTAACTCTCTATCCCTCTCCCTTCCTCTCTGTAAAAAATCAATAAAATATATTTTTTTTAAAAAGAAAAGAACAATGTTGAGCAACCAAAGCATCGCACATTATGATATAAGGTTTAAAGAAATCCAGAACATAATTATATACTCAAATACCTGTCCACATGTATTCATAGCAGCACTATTCACAATAACCAAAAGGAGACAACCCAAAGGTTCAACAGTACATGAATGGAAGAAAAAAAAAGTGATCTACCCATATATTATTCAGCCATGAAAAGGAATAAAGTACTGAAACATGCTACCCTGTGGATGAACCTCGAAAACACTATGCTAAGTCAAAGAAGCCAGATGCAAGAGATCACATATTCTATATCCCATTGATATGAAAGATCCAGAATAGGAAAATCCATAGAGACAGAGAGTAGTAGATTGATGGTTGCCAGGGGCTGGGAACAGGGAGAAATGGGAATTAACTGCCGAATGGGCATAGAGCTTCTTTTAGGCGATGAAAATGTTCTGGAACTAGACAGAGGTGGTGGTTGCACAACCTTGTGCATGTACCAAATGCCACTGACTTGCTCATGTTAAAATGATTGATTTTACCCTAGCTGGTTTGGCTCAGCGGATAGAGCATCAGCCTGCAGACCAAAGGGTCCCAGATTCGATTCCGGTCAAAGGCATGTACCTTGGTTGCAGACTCCTCCCTGGCCCAGGCCCTGATAGGGGCTCATGCAGGAGGCAACCAATCGATGCATTTCTCTCACATCAATGTTTCCCTCTGTCTTTCCCTCACTCTTCTACTCTCCCTAAAAATTAATGGAAAAATATCCTTGGGTAAGGATTTTTTTTAAAAAAAAAGGTTGATTTTATGTTTTAGGAATTTCACCTCAAGGAAAACCTTTTTATAGTGATGGACATATGTTGTAGAAACATAAAAACAACAATTCTATGGTTGTTTTGGTATTTCTACAACATATATCCAAGCACCAAATTCAGGATGATGTTTAGAAGGGGAGAGGAAAGAGAACGGATGCAGGCTGGGTCTGCAGGGAGCTAAACCTGGACTAGTAATGTTCTTTTCCTAAGTGGAACGGTGGCGTATGAGTGTTTATTATATTCTTCTCAATATATTTTAGTATTTCTATAACACTCATTAAAAAAGAAAGCTCATGAAGAAAGATTGGTGGCAAGAGATCCAGAATTGAGACCCAACCAGCGTCCACAAGACAGAGCTAGTCAATGTAATTTCACAGACAAATAGATAACACTGTTCAACAGCACATTGCTGCCTCCCATCACAACATGGACATGGTCTGTGCCATGTTTTTCCCCGTTGGCTCTTGCAACATTTTCCCAGGAAAATCCTGGGTCAGTCTGGCCCACCATTAGGGAAGCTCAGTTCTGGTCTCTCATGTCCATTCCAGAATGGACAGTGTGTTCTAGAGCAGCCTTAGTGGAATCCAGGCCCCTGTACATCGGAGGACTTGTCTGTATAATAATGAACATATCATTTTAAGAATTCAAATGCTTCAGAGCCACATCGCAGGGGGAAAAAGAGTTTGCAGTGCCCTGCCCGATGGGAAGAACATACTAACGACTGTCCCAGCAGCTCTCTCCCGACTCACTTGGTGGCTCAGACAAGCCAAGAACCTTTCAGGGACCATGGGTTTAGTCCCTGAATGAGGAGCTAACTGCCTGGCTTCCTGCTCCCTGTGACCTTTTGGCTGTGGGCAGCGACAATTCTGATCCTCAAGCCTGCAAACCACATGTCCCTGAAGTGAAAGGGGCAGGAAGGCGCTGGGGACTTAGCTGGGTCATGTCCGATGGGTAGATAGAGATAATGAGGGAGAAGAGAGTGCAGAGTCTGGAAGGTGGAGAGAGCTGACATGAGAGAAGCCTGTCTGAAGGGCAGGGGAAACGGGGGTGAAAGGGAGGGGGGATGGAGAATGAGGGCAGCCCCAGAAGCCCTCAGGCTTGCACTCTGCACCTGACTCACCACATGTAGACAAGGATCCCCGTTATAATGAGGTTCTTCAGAATCCCGATCCACAGGCTCTGAATATGAACGACTTTG